CAGCACAATACTGTATTATATATACAGTGGCAATGAAGAAACAAATTCGAATCTTTCATTAGAATCTCATCTGAGCAATGGAATAATCTAATTCAACTTTGTAAAAAATCTAAAATGCACAAAGGGCCTACATCAGAAAAATATTCTACACGATGGTTGGAGGTTAATGTATAATTTGCATCCATTTTTTACAATTATGTAGAGTATACATATAATGTTTGTTAATAGTTTTCTGTAAAAATAGTTTCATATAGAACTACTTTAATGAAGATGGAACATATCAACTTTGTCAAGTAAAAGCGGTTATTTGGTCGACAAACTTAACCTTCCCAATTTTTTCTAAGATTGAAAATCGTTTTGCGTGACAAGTCGTTCGACTTCTATGCATTTTTATCCTTGACCCTTCCTTGCTTCCATTGATAATGAACTATCATTCTTGCCATATTTTTAAATTTTGAAATGCCAAAAAACGAAATGTTGTCATAATTTATGCGAAAAAAAATTTTTGATTCTCACGAAAATGATAAGGTATCAGAGATATCTGCAAAGTGTACAAGATGAAACCTCAACTTCAGCATCTTTAGAGTATTTTTTTGCAAAAATTCAGATAATGCTAAAAGTGCATCAACGTGAAATGGCGTTTTAAACTGTGCTTTTTGATTTTGGTTGCCAAACTATTTTGAAAAGGCGAAAGTCAAAACTAAAATTAAAAGTTACATGACATAACTAAATAAACCAGTGAGTTATCGAATGCAGAAGAAATATCCAATAATTACGTCAAAATGAGAACGAATAAAAAATCGTGAATGGTTGTTAAATAGTATCCACCATTTTAAACTAGCAACCATTCCGATTTTTCCATTATTGTGTGCTCTGCGTGAAATAACTCTAACATATAACTTTTATGAAAAATTGGCTGTAATTACATTTTTTGAAAAAGAAATGAATTATATATCAATAACATTAATAAAAAACATGTTACGACCATTATTTGCGTTATCAATCTAATTACATACTTCTGTTCATACTACCAATATCGATTTTCATAAATAAATAGTTTTATCTATGATTACATACTATTAATATAGTCATAAATTTTGTTTTCAAAATGCTTTGAATGTGGTGTTGATTTTTTTTCATCTTTTCGTTAAATATAATCTCTTCTATTTGGATATTGTTAACATTAGTCTCAAATTACTTCATCATCCAATCATTGTCACCAGGTTCAATAGTTGTATTAGAAACCTTTATATCATATCACTGTCAGATATATTTTGATAATCTTCGTTTAAAAAATTATCAATCCTTTTCATGATCAAAAGGTTCGCCACAACTAAGATTCGCTATCACTACTATTTATTTTCATAGAGTTGGTTTTTACAGGTTCATCAATTATTTTAAATGTCTTGTGATGAAAAATATTTATTGTTGTTTGATTTCTAATAAAATCGTGTTTGATAATGATTGTTAAGTGATTTGTAATCTCTCTAGTTTGATTCCTTTTATCTGAGAATATGTGAATTGGCGACACTTAATAATGTGGCATTATGAGTGTCTATTACTTTGTTTTGACACCAATCAAATAAATATTAATATGGATTCACCTTATTGATATTGTTCAACTGATATTGAAATACTCCAAATATCGTGCTGAAATTTGAATGAGAATATCTTGCAAAGGAAATAAAATTACCTTTTTTGAGAAGTTTTCTTATTTTTTTATTATACAACTATATACAGTTTTTAAATTCATTATATCAGTCCAGTGATTTTTACCAATGTTTGCTTTAGACAGTATCTTGAATAAACAAATAAAAAATAAACCATGTGGATCAAGTGACATGTGATAAAATTCAAAGCGCCCCACACACAATTTGTCCATTATTATGCATAAGTCTGCCAAACCTTGCCAATCAGAATTTCATATTAATATCCAAACACCCCACCCAAAATTTTAATTATTTCACATACAACGCATTTTTGTTATTATATATCAAAAATACTAATAATCGCCGTTGTAACACGAATTTAATTATAATTTGTTGATTGTATCAAAGAATTTCAGTATCTACCAATAAAAATAAATGGTAACCAAGCAAGAGTAATCGTTAATAATAATGGTAGCAATAATATAGTTTTTTCTGATTATCTAAATTCCTAAACCCCTTACATTTGTAATTTTCCTTACTGTTACTATTACATCATTTTTTTATGGAATATTTTTTTATTGGCAATCTGGGCAAGTATTTATTATTAATATTAAAAATATAGATCTACAATAAAAAAATGTCGCGATATTCAGCCAATCATAGTTCTAATATTTTTATTTAAATAGAACTTTTTCAAAAAAAAAAAAAAAAAACTTTGATAAAAAATGTATAATAATAATATCGGAGAAATAGTGTCAAGTATAATAGGTTGGGTAAGTTTGTATTTATGATAAAATGATAAAATAAAATCTAAACAAAATATTTAATTTAATCACGTGATCAAATATCACTAGACTTATTTTTTAGCCTGGTCAATAAGTTTTTATCCACAAGCAATATTAAATTGGAAACGTAAAAGGTAAAATATTATAAGATATGTTTTTTCATAATAATTAATATTAAACTCATTTACAAATTTTAAGTGTGCAAGGATTATCCATAGACTTTTTATGGTATAATTTTTATGGATTTATGTGGTATTCAGTAAGTAGTTTATAAATATTAT